CAGGGACTCATGCCCCGGCCCCTTGAGGACAGAGCAGCTGCACGAATGATTTGGATTCTGTGTGGGAGATTTGTCTCTTCTCCCCCATTTATTTATTTATTCAACTGTTTTTTTTCACCAGTGTGGACTGATATTTGTTACACTTTGGATTACAACCCCATACTATGTTAGCTATTTTTTTGCTCAAATTGTTCCAGCTCTGGCCCCCAGGAGCTCTCTCAGGTGGCTCTTTTGAACCTTCTCAAGGTGACACCAAAGCAAGACTAGCCTGCAGCTGTGTGCAGTGCCGCGAAAGACGCTAACCAAGACACATGCACACTAACCGAGACACGTTTGCTTGTGCAACACACCACTACATCCCACCTGAGTCATCGACCACGACCCGCTGTAGGATGGCCCAGGCATGAGGGCCCGTTTGGGAGCCAAAAGAGTGGACAAGGCAAGATGAAGAGGTACCTATGGTCACACTGGGTGGGTAGGGAGGTGGCCTTGACCTGGGGCTCACAACAATGCCCTCTCCCTCCTTCCTTCTCACGCTACGTGGCTCAGAGAAACCTCACCAGAGAGCAGCAGTGGCTCCCTGGGGCACTCACACTTGCCTGTCCCTGCAGCCTGCTCCTTGACAGGTGAGAGGTCAGGCTTAAATCGTGTACCACCCCAGGAGACCCCCAGGGCTGAAATTCATACTAAAGTACAAATGGCTGTGGCCAGTTCCTCTCTGGAAAGTAGGTCTTGGTGGGAAGGTGTATCTGGGTGGGTGGTGGGGTGGGCAGAAAGGAGGGAAGTGAGGGCCCCTGTCAGTGTCTGGCCAGGTCAAGGTGGGCACACCTCTCCTTGGGGAGCTCTCCCCCCACAGCACTGTCCACAGGGACATGTCCACTGACTGCAGCCAAAGATGCCAAAGGAGCCATGGGCAGTGAACGGGAAAGGCTTTCCCAGAGAGTGGATGGGCACCGGGTTCCATGTCCAGCTGAGAGGATGGCAGGCAGCCCTGGGCACAGCTGGCCACCAAAGTGTCCATAGGCCAGATACGCCAGAGCCCATGGCTGCAGGAGAGGACTGGCTCCCTTTGGTGTGGCCTCAGAGGTGGACCCAGGACCCGAGGGTGGACATGACTTATGAACAAGGGCCCCAGGGTAGGAGCCTCGCTCTGGGCTCTGCCCAAAGGAGCTTTGGAATTTGGGCCAGTGACTTCTCTCTGAGCCTCATTCTCCTTAGGGCTAAGTTCTAGAAAAAGGCCAGGTGCTCCCAAGGTCATGGACAGCTGTGGAAGTTGGGCAGGGGCAGAGGCGTGGGTGCTGAACCACCCTGCATCCGACACCAGAGAGGAAGGCAGAGGGCTCCATCTGACTTCTGAATAAAAGGCGCTGGCAGCTGAAGCAGCCAGGCAGGAACCAGGGCAGAGACAGGCATTGAAGGTGGCAAAGCCAACATGGGCCTGGTGCCCCATCCCCACCCAGAGCAGACCACACAGGGACGGTGCCTCCTGGCCCCGGCAGATGCCCTTGGATGGGCTCTGGTGACAGCTTTGGAGACACACTTTGGTGGGTGGGGCTTCTCCGCATTCTCCTCCCCACAGGGGACAGGAGGAAGGGGCTGGGCAGCCTGTCACTCGGTCCTCTCTGGCCTCTCTCATGTGCTGAGGACAGTGCTGCATCCACTGACTGCTGCCCAGGGGAACTGCCCTGGCCTCTGCTCGCCCTGCAGTGACAGAAATTAGAGGGTGGGGACTCAGAAAGGGGTGAAGGAGGACAGAGTCACAGGGTCTGCGCTAGCTCTGGGCCCCGGGGCTGCCCTGGGCCGGCTGGAGGGCCAGGGGAGCCTGGCTGGGCTGTGGCCCGCCCCACCCAGGGTCCCCATGGGAACAACATCACCCACAGTAGGGCCACTGCTTGGGAGGAGCTGTGTGGCCAAGTGGCCAGGGCCTTCTGATGCTTGAGCAAAGGGAGACGCGGCATCTTCTTGGGTGACCAGCCATGATGCGCCTAAATAGGAACATTCGCTCCGGGGTCTGAAAGGGTGCCCTCGCCATGCGACCACCGGGGGCCTTGTGGATGTGTGTGGCAAGGCCCCTGCTGGCTGCACACCTGCTCTCAGGATGTGCCATTTCAGCCTTTATTCTTCTCAAATGAGTCAGGACATCCCAGCAAGGCCGAGGGCCATAGGGACAGTCCACGCAGCAGTGAGGAAGGCGCACCTAGGATGAGGGACACTCTTCTCAGCAGACCACAGGGCCTACTCAAAGCAGGTGACGATGACATGCACAGAGAGATGCACAAGTCCTCATGAACCGTTTGGTGATTTTCGAGTGGTGGGAGAAGCCAACGGTGTTTGTCTGGCCTTCCTGCTCCCTGTGGTGGGAGGCTCTGTCAGGGCCATTCCCACTGGGCAGCTGCGCGGCACAGGGGACCCCGCGTGTCGCTTGGGGGATCGGCGCTCACTCACTGCTGCTTCCTCTAACCCCTGGAGTGTCTTGCTATGGTGCAGGCGTCAGCGAGGGCTGTGTGATTACATACCACAGACTGGGTGGCTTAAACACTGGCAGGGTTTCCCTCACAGTTCCGGGGACTGGAAGTCTCAGGTCAAGGTCTGGCGGGGTCTCTGGTGAGGTCTCCCTTCCTGGCTTGTGGACGGTCACTTTATCCTCACATGGCCCCTGAGTGTGCCCAGAGAGAGCACTCTGGGGTCCTTTCCTCTTCTCACAAGGACACCCACCCTATCATGTCAGGGCTCCACCCTCATGACCTCACTGACCCTAATCACCTCCTTACAGGCCCTGTCTCCAGACACAGTCACATTGGGGTTAGGGCTTCAATACAGAATTTGGGGACACAGTTCAGTCCACAGTATATGGTAAACATGAGCTTGGCATTTCCCAGTGGGATTCGTGTGCAGGTGCCCATGCGGGGATATGGACGACCATGGGTAGGTCTGTGTCCTGGGCCCTCAGGGCCGACACAGGAAGTCAAAGGAGGTGACTTGCATAAAGGCTCTTAGTACAAAGCCTGGGGCAGGTGCCCAGCCAAGCCTGGTCCCCTTCTCCCATAGCTTCCCAAGCCCACCCCGCCTCTGTTCTTTTACGTAACACGTTACCTACGTTCTTCTCCCAGGAACATGTACACACCGACACACAGAGCCCGACGCACAGGACACACACAGCAGGGGCACAGGGCATGGGACGGAGGGCTCCAGGGAAGCCATGCAGGACGCAGGACAGCGAGCACACAGACGCTGGCGCGGACACCCTCCGAGCACCACAGCCACAGCACTGCGCGCCTTACCTCGGAAGTAGGGGATGTAATGATGTCTGAACACGGATGTAGGGCTTGGGTGTTGGGACAGGGAGAGGCAGCTACTGGTACCAACACTCACAGTACCAGCTACGGGGCAACAGAGAGCGTCAGTCAGCCCTGGGCTGCAGCTACAAAGCCAGCAGCCCAGACCCTGCTCCACTAGGAGCACCGCTGCTTCCTCTCTCGAGGAACGCACACCTTTTTGAGGCACCTGAGGGGCCACCAAACATGCTTTAGGCCACTCTCCTCCAGGCGTGAAGCAGGGAAACCCACCCTCTGGAGGACAAGGTGGTGGCCCTGAGGGCTGTCGGCAGGCGCCTCTGCCAGGACTCGCAGGGGAGGATGGTCCGCCATGCTGGGGGTCTCCCTGGATCAAGGCACCAGGTGGAGAGCAGCTGGCCAGAGGCCAGAGAGTGGCCTGTCACCAGATGGCCTCGCTGGCCTTGCCTGGAGAGACACAGTCCTGACTCTCTGGGGTAGCCCCGGCCAAGCATGTTGGCTGGCAAGCCACAGCGGCCTGGACCACGGACCCAGGCAGGCAGCCAGGGGTCCCCAGGACTTGCCTGCCCAGCTGCTCACTCGAGCTTTCACATGCTCACTCACTCACTCATTCACTCACTCACTCATTCATATATTCATTTACTCATTCATTTGCTCACTCGCTCTCATTCATTGGTTCCTTCACTCACTCATTCACTTATTCACTTGCTCACTCAATCACTCTCATTCACTCACTCATTCACTCATTCATTCACTCGCACTCACTCATTCACTTACTCATTCACTCACTCCTCATTTCCTCACTAATAACGCATTCATTCTCTCATTAGCTCACTCAGTCACTCATTCATTGACTAACTCATTTGCTCACCCACTTTCTCAGCATTTATTGAGCAAAATGCACCAGGCACATTGCAAAGAGTCAATGAAAAGAACTTTGCAAATGAATGAGTTTTGATTTTTCCACAAAGTCTGCAAAAATAAGAGCTGTAGTTCATGGATATGAAAATGGGGCAATGCAGCAGCTGGCCAAGAGGAAGCAGCTTGGAAAAATCCCTCAAAAAGGCAGCGTCTGCAGGGAGCACCCCTGCGTGTGGCTCTGACACACTCAGGGGGTGGAAGACTTTCACAGCTACAGGGGAGCAAGACACAGCCGGCACCAGGCAGGGAACGAGATGAAACTGGAGGGGACCCTCCTAGAGCACCCTCCTTGCTGGCAGGGGCCTGGCGGTGGCCTCTCGCCAACTTTCCCGTGAGGATGGCTGTTGCTGGGGTGGCCGGCCCAGCAGCAGGTGGGCAGTGAACAGATACTCTCACTCCACTTTTCAGCCACCGATTTTACCTTCACAGCTCAAGCCTTCGCAGACCCACAAGGGCTCGGACCTGGCTGACATCTGGTGCCTTCTTTATCTTCCTCACATCTCTCGCTACTGAAATACTGGCTGCATTCTCTACTCAGGTTATGTGTCACAGGACAATTTCCCCAGCCAACAAGGCAATGGCTGCCTGTGACCAACCCCACCCAGGCGTGAGGAAGTCCTTTTCTTTATGTGGCTAAACTGACCTGTTCTCAGCCACCCCTCCACTGGCAATCCCACCCCTTCCATCATGTTTTTAGTTGCGCAAGAAAGAGGCCACTTTATAACAGGAAAACCAAAGAGTAGTGCAGCTCTGCTTGGGGGTGAAGGGCCCATGGCAGCCAAGTACCTGCACGGCTGTAGTGCTGGGGTGAGCGCGAGGTTGGGGTATAGCGCCCGAGGCTGACCGAGCCAGTGGAGCTGGGGCTGGAGGTCCGGCACTGCTTGTAGGAGCGGTCATCCTGGTCCCCCTGGGAGGGAAGACACAGCTGTGGGCCCCTGAGCCGACAGCGCTGCCCGCCCTGTCCCCCGCCCCCGCCTCCAGCTCGAGTCTGCCCTCCTGACCCAGTGTCTGAATCCCCCATACCTACAGGGCACCCCTGGGGAGAGCCCTCTGCTACCCCCCTTCCCCTGCAGGCTTCCTCAGAGGGGGTCAGAGCACCTGGGCCCACCGGCTCCCCCAGTCCCTTCCTACCCAACCCTTCCCAGCACCCAAGGATCCTTAGAGCACAGCGTGAGGACCACTGGGACCGCCCCCCCCGGGCCTGACAGGGTCCTTCATGCATAAGTCAGGGACTCTAAGGGTGCTGGAGGCACATTGGAGGTGGGGACGTGCCCCTCCCGGGCTGGGAAGCCCCATTGAGTCAGACCCACAGGCACTGACAAGGCAGACCTCATCCGAGCAGGAGTGGGCAGCTGTTTGGAGCAGTCAGAGCGGGCGGCGGGTGGCATGAGATGGGATGACACCATGGCATAGCAGAGCAGGCTGCCCTGTTGCCACAGATTGGCATGCTGGCCTTGGTCGTGACACGGCTGTGGGGTGGGAGCTGTTTTGCCAGCGCTGTGATGAGCAACTGGGCTCCTGGCCTGGCCCCCCAGCCCCCCAGCCTGCTGGAGCTTACCTTCTAGCCCTCAGGGCCCACTGTCTCTAAGCTGCCTTGTGCACCCTGTCCATGCTTTCTCAGGACAGCCCTCAAGCCAAATTCCTACCTGTACCTGGCTCTGAGCCCCTAGGGCCTGTCACACCCTACAGCCCTGGGCACGCTCTCTCAGGTAGCTAGGCCCTGCTATCTTTCTCCTCTCCACCCTGGCATCCTCTGCACAGCCCTGGCAGCCACTGGCCCCTGACACGTGTCCTGGCTCCTCGCCCAGCCTGTACTTGGGGTGCACCGGCTCGACACAGGATGAGCAGTGTGAACAAGCCGGCCACCTGCACGATTGGCTGTCACATTCCCGCGTCTGAGGATTTGATGCCTAGCTGCTGCAGGCTCTCCAAGTGGGGCAGGCTCTCCCCACAGAACAGCACCATCAGGGCGAACATGTGCCCTGTTCCTCCCCAGTGCCTTAGAACTGTGTCTGTGGGGACAGACTGGAGAGTCGAGCGGAGAGACCAGGGCTCTGCAGAAGATTCTGGCTCTCCTAGGCCATAGGGAGCAAGGGGATGGCCTCGGCCTGGGAGGACAAGGAGGTAAGTTCTCCCAGGACTGCGCCTGAGGGCTGGTTGGGAAACCAGGCTAAGGGCAGGAAGCAGGCAGGTCCTGGTGTGGGTGGCTGAAGTACCGGGGCCACAATGATCACCTGTGGACTGGAAGCCTACAGGCTGCGCACGGCCGTGCAGCTTCTCACTGACTAACCGTGTGCACTTGTGCGTCCAGCCTGGGGTCACGGCCCAAGAGAGGGAGCTTCGCAACGAGACCAGGCTCTTCTTTAGAGTGGGCTCTGCCTTGAGCAGACCCTTCACCTCATCTGGAAGGGTCTAGAAGTGGAGCCCACATCACTCCCTTGTGCAGATACAAAGGTGATGCAAGAATGCCTGGCCCCAGGCCCAGCACATCAAAGGTTACTCGCATCAAGGAATTGCTATGTTGGTAATTTAAGTAGCAGCTGTGACAACCATGGCCGGGGCACAGCTCCACTGGGGCAGGTCGGCTGGGATGGGAGGCCAGGGAGCCCAGTAGGGTGGGCCCGGGCTGGAATCCTCCTCCACCTCAGAGCTTGTGACCCTGGAAACATTATTTGACTTCCCTGTGCCTTGATTTCTCTACTGGTAAACTGGGAAATATCATAGAACTTACTTTGGGGGGCCGTGGTGGGCTAAGGAGGTTAATATGCACAAAATGCTTACAAGAGCGCTGAGCACGGAGACAGCGCTCACGTGTGGCTGTGTCACAGGTCTTCACTCCTGGCTGCGATGACATCCCTGCACGTAGACAGCCAGTGCCCAGAGCTGCACAGCAGACTGGAGTCTGATTGGCAGCTGTCTGTGTCACTGATTAATTTTGAGAAACAGGAAGGAGGGCCTGGACCGCTAGTATTATAATAAAGGCTATTTGACAGAGAAATGCGTCTGAGCATCCACCCTCCAGGGCCTGGCCTCTTCCCACATGGGCCAGTGGGAGGGGCATGACATGCTCTCTGGCTCGCCCAGCTCCTGACTGTTCCTCTAACGGAAGCCGTGACCCAGACCAACATCTGCCCTAGCGGGACCCGTGTCCCAGGCGTGTACATTTGTGGGGCTGGCAGACACATGAGGGCAGCATGCAGAGGAGACATGATTATAAAAATAACCAGCACCCAGGAGGGCACCCTGAGCCCAGGGGCCATCAGGAGCCTTGGGGCCCCTCCTGGGTGCGCTAGGCGGTTATCTTTACAACCGGCGACACCACGAGCAGGCAGGACAGGCAGAGGGTGATGGTTACCTCAGTCGGCGTTGGCGAGAGCAACTGAGGCGACTGTGGACACAACACACAAAGTGGCCTGTTAGTGCCGCGGCATCAGGCAGCGACTTCGGGGGAGAAGGGAGAGTTTAGTGGCCGCAGGCAACGCAGGGCGCAAGCGTTCATACAGCAAGGCCTGACTGCCAAACGGGACAGGACCCTGCCACGAGAGATGCAGGACGGGCCTCCAAAACCTTTCTGGAGAAATATGGGCAACAGCACCCAGGGAAGAGGTCCCCGGAAACTCAGGTCATGCTGCTGAGCTTTTCCCTGCCCTGGCCCTCCATGCCCTGCCACTTGTCACCAAGACACATGTCCAAAGGGAAGACTGCGGCTCAGGGCCGGGGTGGCACAGCCTGTACGCCATGCCCTGGGCTTTCTCTGGACAAGGGAGGAAAGAGGCCCAGCAGGGAGAGAGGGCAGAGGGACCTCTGGCTTTGGGGTTAGGCCTGGTCCTGCCTGGGGGGCCCCAGGGCCTTGGGGAGTGGGCTGACCACAGCCTGGCACCTCCCATTGTGGTGGGTGGGCGAGCTCTGCCCGCCACCCGTAGACATGGCCAAGACTCAGTGAGGCAGCCTGGAGGCGGAGGGGCCTAGAACCAGAGCGCTGTCCTTGCGGGGTGGGTGAGGATTAGGGAAGAGAACTGTGTCCCCACGCAGCTAGTAGAAGGCACTCCATCTGCAGGAACGATTACTATTACGGTGCAACGCTGTGACGCCATCTGGGAGGCTACGGTGGCCCTGTGCAGCATCACCCTCCTCCTATGGGACGGCCTTAGGGGAGGTGGGATCGAGGGGAGAAACCCTCCTGGGCTGTCCTCAGGCACTGGTGTAGAGGAACCTCGGAGTGAACACACCTGACCCAGGACACCTGGCACCATCCACCTGCCGAGCCAGGCCCCTTGGGGACGGCCTTTGTGGCTGTGGGTGGGACCTCACGCACAAGGTGCAAATTTGCAGCACAGCAGAGAGGCCAACTCAGGTGCCACAGAGAGGGAGTGGGGACTCCTGAGCCACACACACAGCCCTCCCTTCCTGCCGCTCTCTGCGCCCCCGGGACAGGCCCTTGGGTCAGTAATCATCCGTGCTGCATTCTGGTCATGTGCTCACTGACGTGGAGGGACCCAAGGAAGCAGGACTGAGGTGGGAACAGCCACACCCACACAGCCCCTCCCAGCATGGCTCGCTCAGAACACAGGCGTGCGTGTCAGGCAGGGTTTGACGTCCCAGCCTGGGGGGAGGCAGACAGCCCGAACCTAGCTCTCGGACTACAGTCCCCATCTCAGAGAAAGTGTAAAGAAGACTTGAGGAAACAGCCAGCACATCATGTGGACTTTCGGGGAAGAAAGGACTAGATTTGGATCTTGGCTCTGCTGCCTACTGGCTCGGGCACTGTGGCCCAGTTGCTGGACCTCACTGGCTCTCTCCCAGGGCCCAGTCTGGGCATAGACCAGATGCTGGGTGATGAAGACACACGGTGGGTGGACCTGCACTCTCAGCACTGATGGGGCTTGCCACCTGCACCCACAGGGCACCTGCTGGCCCTGAGCTCTTCCCACCCTCCCCCTTGGCCCTCGGGCTCCGCAGCTGTGCCCAGCAGCTATGACTCCATCGGCAGGGCCGGGCTGGGCTCACCCCGTGCCAGCTGCATTGAGCACGGCACCCCTGGAGTCTCAGCCCTCATTTCCCAAGAGGCCCTTGCTAAAGTCTCAAAATGAGAAGGTCCAAGGGAAACATGTCTGAAAGGACTGAGTTTTCCTGCCCAGGGGAGCACCTGTGTCCAGGCCACACACCAACAGCAAAGATGGCTCTTCCTACCCAGGCAGTCGCAGTTACACCGAAACCTCAAAACCACAAAAAGAAAAGCGAAAACCAACATGAATTCCACATTAAATGGAGAAGAGCAGCTTTGAAGTCACCAAATAATAGAATACACTGTCCACAGGAATGCCAGGGAAATAGTTGGTGGTTCAAGCAGGTTGGTGAAATTGGCTAAAGGTATTTGTGGGCCAGAGGCATGTGCCACAGCAGCAAGGGTGGGCGTGCAGCCCAGACTATTCGGATAAGGAAAACAGTGCTTTTCGTGCTTTGTGAAAATAATCCAATACTTAAGAAAATTAAGAGATTTTCACTTGCTATCATTTTTCCTAAAAACCAGGGTGCTTCCTACTTTCTGCTCCATTTAACGAGGCTTTCCAGATTCCCTCCTTTAGTGAGGAGAAATTTGGGGCCAGAGCATACTGGGAACGATTCCAGTGGGACGTGCACAGGGTTATCTGCAGGGTGTGGAGAAGGCCGAGGGTCGCAAGAGGCGGTGAGGGCAGAAGTAGGCTCTGTCCGAGTGGGACCCACGCTAGGGACAGCCGCGCCTGCGGCAGCGCAGGCAGGGCCGTACCTCGCCGCAGCTCTGCCTGTCCCCCGTGGAGTGGCTGATGTAGGGCGAGTAGGAGATCATGTCGGGGCGGTCGATGTCATAGATGGCCTTATTTTTGGGAAGGGCAGCCAAGTCCCGGTAGTCAAGGATCTCCCCACCGAGCTTCGCCTGCGAGAAAGAGCAGAGGGGGGCTACAGTCAGATCCACATCCTGCAGGGCAGAGGCCCCCAAAGCAGGGCAGAGTCTGGGCGTGCCCCAGCTCCCAGGTAAAAGCACAGGGGACTCGGGAGCAGATGGGCCTGGGTCCTGAGGCCCAGCCACAAAGAGCCACCCAGCCTTAAGGAATCCTCAGTTTCCTCTTTATAACGTGGCGGACACGATCACAGGATGGCTGTGGGGTCCGGAAGTGAAGTGAAGCCTGTGACAGCAGACAGTGAGACTCAGTCCACGGCCTAAACACACATACATGTACATGCATCATATATGTACACATACACACATGTATGCACACACACAGATTCAATCCTCCCTTGGTATTTATGGGGGATCTGATACGTCAGCCGAGGTAGTGTTTGCATGTAACCTACACATCCTCCTGCACACTTTACACCATCTCTAGAGGACCTACACCATCTAACACCATGTAACTGCTGGGTAAGTAGTGGTTATACTGTATTACGTTATTTGCATTTTTTAATTATTGTATTAGTGTTTTTTATTGTTTCTTTTCCCGATATTTTCAATCTGAGGTTGGTTGAATCCACGAATCTGTGGATGTGGAACCCATGGATATGGAGGGTGATGGCACACACCTACACAAACGTGCGCGCACACATGTATACATGTATACAAACACACATGTGCACTGCATGCATATGCATGTATACTCACAGGGAATGTGCCTGTCTCATACTGTGGAGGCACAGACACTCACACCTCACATCCCCACCCGCCCCCACATACTAGCACACATATGTGCACATCCACGCTCACACTTCTGCACACAGCCACACACCGATACAGGTGCTCACACACCCTTCCATGCCCACAGCTCACTCACAACACATTCCCACACACTGGCGCACACACATGCACACCCAGACTCGCTCCCACAAACTTACGTGTACACTCATCCACACATACTGCACACGTAATCACCTGACCCTCACCAAGCGCATACGCATTCACACACATCCACTCTCACAGGCTCACACTCACACTCAGCATTTCTGAGCGCTCACAGGCTCATACACACTCGGCAAAGTGCCCAACATTTGACAGGCTGGGTGAGGTCCAGGACCGCGTCTGTCTTGTCCGCCTCTGGCCCGTGCTGGCCCACGGAGGGCACACACTTGCGCTTGCGGGCTGTGGCCTTGCAGACCCATTTCCTCCCAGGCCAGTCCTTGGGTGGTTGCCATGACAACAGGCTATGCTGTCTCATTGGTGGAAGGCCACTGGGGTACGTGTGTACAAGTGTTTTCTCTCTGCTTTCTTCCTTCCCATACTCCATACAGCATAATAAATGATAACATGGCCCTGTATGACATTATCATTACAATATAATCCAGCCATTAATAATATATAACGTAATAATGCTGCTTTTATACTGTGCTTTATTGCCATGATGAACAAAAGGTTACAAACCAGCATGTTCAGTGTGACCTCATGTTGTTAAAAACATTACACACGTACACACAGAGGGGAGGGACTCACATGGTGCACTCCACAACAGAGTGGTGGCCACTCTGCCTGGCAGGATAATAAATGGTATTAATTTTCTCCTTTGTGCTGATCATGATTTTTTTAAAAGAAAAAATGCAGACTGCTTTTATAATTTAAAAAAAGCAGCAAAATGGATTATGTCAAAAGCCCACAATCTACTGAGCTCCTACTGTGTGCAAGTTTTACCCCTAATACCAACATGGACAAGGCACAGCCTCTACCCACCAGGAGCACCCTGCAAAGCACTCTGAGGTGGCATGGAGTGGGCCCCTCCTGAGGTCGTGGGTGTGCCCAGCGCTGAGCGACGGGTCAGGCACAGTAGGTGCACACCCAGCTGGTGGGGAAATTCCTCACCCACCAATACCCTGCCTTGTTCCTCAGCACGCACCCACCTGAAATCCGTGCACAGCACGTGCCCCATCACTCCTGTGGAACAGAAGCCCTTCCCACCCAAGAACAAGGACACCCTCTGGCCTGACACAGCTGGGTCCCCAGGGCCCAGCCTGGGGCTTGGTGCTTGGCTGAGCTTGCAACCACCTGATGCAAGAAGACAGGACCCATTAGAGCTGTTTTCAGCACTGAGAAGTGGGGGCCCCTAGAAAAAACCCCAATCTTTGGGGTCACAGAAACCTGGGTTCAAAGCCCTGCTCTGACATTTGCTGTCGTATGGCCTTGAAAGTGGAACTAAGACCGCAGAGGCTGTCACCGTTCACCGCAGGATTATAGGGTCACTATGGTTCCTAAGCCCTTTGCAAATGCCAATTTATTTAACAAAAAAAGCTCACATTCAATGAGCAGTTACTATGTGCCATGCAGTTGACATTGACAACAAAAAGAACAACAGCTGCCATCTCTTGTGTGCATACCCCATGCCAGGCCCTCTGCTCAGTGCTTTGTCAATGTTGAAGCTCAGAAAACCCCCAAATACGGCTTCAGCACGAGTACTCAGAACTCGTGAGCAGAATGGAGGCCTCGGAAGCCTTTGACCCTCTCCTGTCCTCTGGTCTCTTGCCCCTCTTCCCCCTGCCTCCCGAAGTGAGCTGCGGAAACCCCCAAAGCCAGCCATAAAACCTAGAAACATGACTCTAACCTCCCCCACCTTTCTGTATAGGGCTGGCTGTAAAGAAATTCTCTACCTACCTGTCATAAGACCCTCATTCCAGCGGGGTCCTGCCCTGCATGCAGGAGGAGGGAGGGCCACACAGAGCCAGGAAGAACCTGAGCAGACAGGCCTTGCTGGGTTCCCCCAGTCTGTTCCTGTTGGATCAGACTCTATTTGTCCAATCCCATTTCTGCATGGCTGCTGTGGGGTGAGGGGAAATTCCCCCTTTCCCCAGAAGGTTTGCTGACAGATCAACTCACAACAAGGCAGATAACTGAGATAAAGACATGTATCTATCCTGCGCATGGGGAGAATCAGAGTGGTTGTCCAATATCTCAGGGGGTCCAGAGGTTCATATATTTCATTTTAGAAGGGAGGGGGATGAGGAATATGAGAATTCTGTTTAGGGACAACAAATGGTCACTAGGGAGGATGAATAGGTACTTGGGAGAATGAATGGATGAGGAAACAGACTCACTTATAAATGATTCTCTTGGGAAAATCAATTAACCTGAGAGACAGGTTATATTCAGAACGACTTGCGCCAGGTCTGGTTGCATTTCATTGTTCTTCTTTATGGGTCTGGTTTTTTGTAAAGAAAGAGGGAAAGCCCCTCCAAGACCTGTTGATCTCTCCGGCCCTTTAATTCAAAGTACTCTGTCACATTTTGAGGTGAAATTTCCTGAGCTCCTTCCCTGTCCATACCTCATTGAACCTAAGTGTAAAAAATGGACAGTTTTCCCTGGGCCTTTGGGTCTTTAATTTCTGAGGCTTCCTGTGTCACATAAAACTTAGATTAAATAAATGTGTTTGCTTTTCTCTTGCTAACCTGTCTTTTCTCATCAGAGTGTTGGCCGTGATCCTTACAATGGGTGAGGAAAGGTATCACACCTTTCCACACATACACAAACACTATCTCATTTAAACAGTAATAATCATAATTATTATTATTCATGATGATAATGATGGTATTATGGGCTGAACTGTGTCTCCCAAATTCCTAGGCTGATAAAGTCCTAACCCTCAGAACCCCAGAATGTGACTATGTTGACCTAAGGTCATTAGGTTGTGCCCTAACCCTATCTGCCTGCTGTCCTTGTAAGAAGAGGAGCTTAGGACACAGACACCCAAAGAGGGGCGACCACGTGAGGACAGGGGGAGAAGGCAGCCGTGTGCAAGCCAAGGAGAGAGGCCTCAGGAGAAACCTGCCCTGCCCACACCCTGATCTTGGATTTCCAGGCTCCGGAACTTTGAGGCAATAAATTTCCACTGTTGAAGCTGTCCGGTCTGTGGTGCTTTGTCACGGCAGCCCCAGCAGACTAGCACAGGAGGCAGTAACATGACAGCAGCGAGCATTTCCAAAGTTCCTCCCCAGGCCAGGAGGCACTCAGAGCCTCACAGGCAGAGCCCATGGGCCCTGGACGGAAGTGCTGGGCTCCCCACGTCCCACAGATGAGCTCCTGGAGGCGCAGGGCGGGTAATGCCTCACCAAGGGCACACAGCTGGCCCAGGGACGTCACACGCCCCTCTGAGCCCCAGAGTGCACACCTCAAAGGGCCACAATGCCATCCGTGCTCCGGGCTAGCGATATGTCACATTACCCAAGGACTAGCGTGCTTGTTGTCATGACCATCAGCATAAGGTCAGGAATGACCCTGTGTCCAACTATTGTGAGAGATTAAGGGCAGAGAAGAAGCATAGAAAAGGTCAAATCCAACACCCATTGTGGCATAAATGGCTGAGGTCCCAGCTGGGGTGGGTGGGGCTGGGGGGAGAGTGACTTGTCCATGTCACCGGCCCTTCTGGTGGCCAGTTCTGGTGGTGGAGGGGGCCTGCATGTCCCACCTGGACTCCTTCCCTGATACGCCATCCCTCACTTTGGACCTTGGGGCTCTCTCCTAGACAAGGTATTTGGGTATTTACACAGGCAATGTTAGTAAATAGTAACAGTAACCTCCAATTTCTAATCCCTCCATTCAGAGGAAATTATTGTTAACAACTTGTTAAAATGTTTCCAATCATTTTTATACTTGTAAGTGTATGCGCATGTACATGCACAGACACAGACATGCACATACACACCCTCTGTAAGGGAAATGGGATCACAAGATTTATAGCATCCTTAACACACTTCTTTTAGGGAACACCTTGGGAACGTTTTGCACGTTAATATGAAGTTCTGTGCTGTTGTCCACAAAGCCTGCATGATCCCACACGGGTGCCTGGCAAGCCCCAACTATCGGCTATCGATGTGATATTTTTGCGCCATTAAAAACAACAGCTGTGCACACACCACGTTGTGCTCTGGTCACCAGATAATCAGGGATGAGTTCCCAAGGGAACTGCCAGGTCAAACAAATATGACCACGTTGCAGGTTTTGAATCAACCTCATAAAGCCTGCACTGACCTCTGCCCTGGCAGTGACAAAAGCGCTGGCCCCACAGCAGGTGCCCTCAATGACAGTTCTTAGGATACTCTCCAGTCTCCAAAGCCAGCTTAGCAATGGCACCAGGTCCCCTTTTCCCTCTCCACCCTCCTGCCCAGCCCACTCTCCATAGAAAGTCCTGACTTACATAAATCACACGGCTCGGAGACCCTGAGGTGCTGGAAGCAGGTACAGAAATGATGCTCTCTGAGGAAGTTCTGGTTTCCTAGGAAAGAAGGGGAGAGGAGGAGATGAAGACAGATATTTCAACATCAGAACCTCCCAGAGGTGGCTATCAGGGGTTACACTCCAGCAGTGGAGGGAGCTCCCTCCTTGCACCCCCCTGTGGTGTGGGTGACAGCTAGCTACTCCTACACTCAGCAGGCCCCCAGCAGAGATGGGACAGGACCAGGACCAGCATGGGGCCACATGTCAGAGGGCAGGGCAAACCTGCAAGGCATAGGGGGTGGGGCTGGGCAAACCTGATTGCAAATTTGGTTCTGCATCTAGAAAGGAAAGAGAAGAGGGAAGGGGCGTGATGCTCAACCCACCATCTCTGCACTCGCTCCCGCTCAGCTCTGCCCAGCCCTCTCCATGCCTGGCACCACCTTTGTATCTTTCAGGACTAAGCATGGCCGCCGCCGCTGCCACTGCCTCCTCCTCCTCCTCCTCCTCTTCTTCCTCCTCCTCCTCTTCCTCTCAAGGTCTGCCCAGCCTCCCTCAGCCCCAGCACTGCACACCAGTCGAGCATCGACTCAGGGGTCTGCCTGTCCCCTGGAACTGGGCTTCCGGGGGCCGGCAAAGGCTGAGCCCTTGGCCACGCCAGGGTGGCACAGTACCACGTGCCACTCACAAAGAAGGTGACGACTCCAAGGCCTGTAACACAGGGTCTGCTATTCTTGCTGTCCCTAGGGCAAGGTCATGTATTTTACAGGCCAAAATGATGTATGCCTAATTTTGTAGATTAAAAATACTCTTTGAGTCTCAGCTTCCTTCTCCATAAAATGGAAATTCCTCCCCTTTCCATTTCTGGGGGTTAGAGCAGAGATGAGACAGGCAAGGTGCTTAGCACTGTGACTATTATTTCAGCTCAAGCTGGGCTTATGAGATGACCTTGACAGAGAATGCCCTTCTCTGCAAAGTGGACTCACGTTGGGGGTTTTAAGAGAAATGTTCTACATTCCCCTAAGCTGAGCACAGTTACAGCAGCACAAGAACGTCTCCCAGGAATATTTTACAACCTCCAATTGAGCCCTGGTGCAAACTGGTGGTTATGCTTAGGAGGAAGGGAGCTCGGGCTGGTTTCCGCATGGGCCCTAGAGGCTGGTTTGCTCAAGGCATGTCTGAGGCAGGTCATACCCCTCTCTGGTCTCAGGTCCCAGCTCTGAGAGGAGGAGGAGGAAGGAAGGAGGAGGAGCAGGCCTCCACTGAGCTCAGGGAGCAGCAGAGAGCTGCACAGAAGGCATTTTCCCCAGGGTGAGGAGGCTGGAGCTTTTTTTGACTTTCTCTCTACCCTGACTCCAATTTGCCCAAAGAAGCTTCCCAAGGACAGTCCATATCCATGGGTTCTCCCCGGGCTGGAGGGAGAGAGCCTCGTTCAGACCCATAGAGGCAGGGCTGGGAGCTCACCTGGCTCTAGTCCCCACGACCTTCTCCAGCTTCACCTGGCCCCAGGGAAGCAGCTGTCCAAGAGTGACAGGACACCAGATTCCCACTAAGGTCAACCCCCTCATCTCCATATTAAAGCCAAGGGGCTGAGACTCAGAGAGGGATACTGACTTGCCCAAGGTCACACAGCTAGGAAGAGGCAGAGCTGGACTCCAAAGCCACAGCTTGTTCTACCACCTTTGGCTACCACTGAGAATTCTGTTAGAACATTCCTGCTCACAGTGGGCCCAATGGGCCTACCTTTGGCCTCCTGGGCAGGGTGAACATGCCTGTTTCCTCCTCACTTTGTGGCACCACAGTCTCCAGTTCCCTCCCAGGCTCACACCCCCAGTAACGCTGGCTTGGGCCTCTGCACTGGGAAGGCCTCACTCTGAAGGAGACCAGGAGGCATCGCCATGGAAACCCACAGCCTACAGGACCAGCCAGCCAGGCCAGGGCCCCTCCCCTGAAGTCACCCAGCCCCTGGCCAGAGTGGGAGCCCCTCTGAGCCGAGCTGTCCCCGTGGTCACCTTCACCGTTCTCAGTGCCCGTCTCTGGCTACCCAGCAAGCACAGGGCCACCTCCCTGCCACATGGCTCTGAAACCCTCACTCAGTCCCCTGCAGGTCACGCTCAGACACAGGACTCAGAGCCAAAACTGGGCTGGGCCGCAAGTCACAGCTCCAGGATGCTGTCTGTGATCCCCACCCTGGCTGGGCCTGGCCCTCTCTCGCTCACAGCGCACCTCAGAGCCTGCAGCCCCCACTGCCTCCCCCAGCAGACAGGAGCTCCCTGAGGGCAGGGACCCCCAGGGCCTTATTCATTTCTGTGTTCCAGGCACCCAACTCCAGAATGCACACAGTAGGTACTTAGCGGCTGTGTGCTGAATGACCATATGACCAAATGCCAAGGACACACTCAGGACAGGGCAGTTAGGACCACAACCCTCGGCAGATGACCAGGGACATCTCATATGTGGTACTTGTCCTGGGGTGCTCCCATCCCTGTGGGGAGGGGTGCAGCCATGGCGGCAGGAACACCTTCCAGGACGCGGAGACCAGCATGCCAGTATGCACCTTCCTCCCCACGTCCTCGCAGGAATCCAGGGTTCAGGTAGTGGAGACCAGTGTGCCCTCCCTCCCATGTCCTCGTATGGATCCGGGGTTCAGGCACCTGCTTCTCTTGCTGGAGGGCAACCCTGAGGCAGGGGTGGAGCTGGCTCCTCTGAGGGCCCTGCAGCCTGAGAGCGGCCCCTGCTACATGACTGCTGAGCACGTGCCCCGGACAGGGTGTCATTTCTCCTCCTAATTACCAGGTAGTGCGGTGGGACCACCTCTACGTGGGTGGCAGTTTCAGCGTTAATGATGCTGCTGCCACCTCATGTTGTGTTTCTTAGGGGCTGACGGTGCCTGAGTTATGCACATTCACTTAGTAACAGGCTGCCTGGCCTCTGCCCGGCATGTTGAACAAAGCCAACTAGCCCTCTTTTAAAAATAACTGTTTCAAAAGCATCTTCGAACAACAGAGCCCAGGAAGGTGACTCTGCCTGCACAGGCCCATAAGGACAAGGACCCCTTCTTCCCTGTCCTGCAGCATCCGACTGTTCTGAGGGCCTCCCCACTGTCAGGCCCGTGGTTGGGAGGTCAGCTCGGCTGGCATGAATGCTGAGGCTGAGGGTGGAGCTGCTGCTGCCAGACCAGGCTACAGCCGAGGCCCCTGTAGACAGTCGGTGCAGGCCATCCTAACCTGTCCTTCAGGGGAACTGAATGTGGCCCGTGGTCTCCCTTTCCTGCCCAGTCAGTCTCAGGAGACAAGGTGAGAGTTCCCCGTGCACACGCCAGGAACCCAGTCAGGTCCCTTTCACAGGCCTTCCGCCCAGACAAACGCCAGGGCCCCGGGGTCTCGTCCGAGTCTCAGGCAGGGACACCACCTTGCTCGTCTCTGAGGCCCGGGCGGCACAGGGCAGTTTGGAGAATGAACCACAGACCTCATCAGCCACTTGAAAGGACGAAAGAATTCACAGTGTGCTGCCACCTACTGCACCCCCTGCCATGAAAACCAGGAGCAGGATTTCGTCATGTGACTGTCCTGCGGCTGAGAGAGACTGCCACACACAGAGCTACTGAGGACAGTGTTGGGGAGACAGGGAGGAGCCTCTGCCCAGCCTTTGGCTGCAGTGCTGTCCTGCTGCCCTCCTGTTCTCTCCCCGACTCCTCCTTCAGCTGCTCTCGGGACACCACCCTCACCCTCACCCTCACTCTCGGCTCGATGTCTCAGCTGGCTGGGGTGTGCTGGCCGGCGGAGGTGCTGCCCTCCCAAGGGTCCTGATGCCAGTGTCACACAGCTTAGCTTAGAGAGTCCTGCACCCGAATTCTGCCCCAGACCCTAAAAGACACTTGAATAGTCCACTTGATTCTCTGCAGGCTCTGCTGCTGTTTCTCCATCTCTCAAACAGGAGCCAAGACCTGCTGCTACAGGATGTCTGTGTTACTCAGGACCCTCAAGGTAGCCATTTGGTGACCTAGACGGAGCTCTGGGACCCAGCGAGGGAGGAAGTGGGAGGCCAGGGGTCGCTGTGATCCTGTGGCTGGACCAGGACATGGCCTGACCTGTGGGCTGTAGGGCTGTCCTTGGCCACAGGCCGCTGGCCAGGCCGGTCCTGTCCTCTACACTCTCTTGGGCCCTCGTGGGCTGGAGCTTGTGGTGAGGGTCCCGATGGGGGGTCCCTAGCACAGAGCCTGCAAACACAGGAAGCCGGACCTGGCTGACTCACCCCTCCTCTGCCAGGGTCTGTGGTCCGGTGGGCTGTAGTTTACCATCTAGATTCTGTTCCTTCCTTTATGTAACAAACATAAGTCTCTGCCACGTGCCAGGACTCGGGCCAGGAGTGGGGACTCCGGAACGAGGAGGCTTTCCTCCAGGCTCCTGGTGGGGCTCAGCAGGAGGGGCTGATGTGGTCCGATGGGGTAGGGGCTCCATGACATGGTGCACAGGTGATCTGTAAGCCTTTCACCTGGCAGGGGTGGGGGCGAGCGAGGACGCAGGGTCATGGGGAGGAGTTGGCAAAGTCTTCAAAGGTGACATTCAAGGTGGATCTTAAAGGCCTTGAGGTAGGCATTTTCTGGGATGCAAGGGGAGGGGAGGGCCTTCCTGGTGGAAGGAAAGGCATTTGCAGAGGTGCAGAGAGGCCAGGGAGGGCACAGTCCTGAGCAGGGGTGCACCTGCTTGGGTGGAGCTGGGGTGTGGGCGAATGGATGGTAGCAGGAATTCCTCCCTCCCTCTAGGCATTGCCACCAGCCTCCTCTCAGCTCCTGGAGCTTGCCGGCTCCTTCCTGCCTCAGGGTCTTTGCACAAGCCGCTGGCCTTGCCTGACACCCTCCACTCCCACCCTCATCATGGCTGACTCGGTGCCCCTTAGCTCCAAGCTGATTTCCTCTGGAGGCCTCAGCTGACATCTTATCTAGGTGGGCTCTCCCCTGCTGGCCTCCCTGGGACGCCCCATTGGCTTCCTTCAGTGCACCTGCTACATCAGCCACTGTGCTACTGTTTTGTGTGTTGAGGTGTTGACTGCTGGCACATGAGCTCCAGGGTGGCCAGGTACCGCCCACTTGCTCATGGCTGCACCTCCCACGCCTGGCGCACAGCAGGGTATCTGTGCAGTAGAGGATTTGGCCTTACCCAAGGGAGGTTTGGCCTTTGCCCTACGTTTCTGGGAAGGAAACTGTGTTGCACCTGAGAGGAGCATCTTTGTTTGGGGAGGGGGTTGGCCACGTCTGTCCATCTTAGCGTGGGGGCAACCAGTCACATGACTTAGGGTGGGAGCTTTGGGTTACATGGTATCAGCTGACCTGGCAACTAGTATTAATCGAACAATCACAGCTATGTCACAGAGCCCCAATAAAACCTGGGGACACTGAGCTTTCCTGGTTGGCAATACTCCATGCATACTGTCACACGGCGGTGCTGGGAGGGCAATGTGTCCCAACTCCATGGGGAGACAACCACAAAAGCCTGGTGTTAGGACCCTCCTGACTCTGCCCATGTGGCTCTTTCTTTGGCTGACATCACTCTGTATCCTTCTTCCCTGTGATGAACCATAACCATGGGGGTGCCACATTCCATGAGGTCTGTGAGCCCTTCCAGTAAACTGTCAAGCCTGAGGGTAGTTTGGGGTGAGTGGGGGCTTGAACACACAGTTGGTGTCAGAAGTGAGGGTGGTCCTGGGGACTGTCTGGGCCCCTCCAACGGCGCAGCCATCCCCAAGTTCTCATAGCCATCGGTGCTCACTGAACAGGTGAAGTCAGCAGGGCCCAGCACAGATGCTCCTCAATGTCCGTTTGCTGTAGTTTGAATGTCCCCCCCAAAGCTCGTGTGTTGGAAAATTGGTGGCCCTGTGGCAGTGTCAGAGGTGGGGCCTTTGGGAAGTGATTGAGCCATGAGGGCCCTGCCCTCATGAATGGATTAATGTCATTATTGCATGAGTGGGTTAGTCATCGAGGGAGTTCAGCTCTTCTCCTCTCTGTCTCACGCACTCTCGCATCCTCTTGCCCTCCCACCGTGGGTGGCCCTCACCAGCTGCCAGCACCACGCTCTTGGACTTCCCCACCTCCACAGTCATGAGCCAAATAAACTTCTTTTTTAAATAAGTTACCCAGTCTGTGGTATTGTTACAGCAACCAAAAACTAAGACACCCTTGTTATACCTTGCATCATCTCCCACCTGATCCACCTGCTTACCCCCGTCACCTCCTAAGCCTCATTGCCCCCACCCCGAAGCCTGTGTGCCTTGTCAGCGACCCGTGGAAGCTGGTCAGTGTCCTCTTAATTGTATGGAGATTGCGTGTGAGCAAGGAAGATTACATTGGAGAAACCAGTAAATTCCACCAACCTTATTTTTGTCTTCAGTTCTGGCAGCTTGTCGACATGCCGGATGCCAGATGGACGAACCTGTTGACAAATTCCCAAGAGGGAAGGGATTAGAGTCATTTCCCATGATGCGGGGGCCCACGTGGAAAGTCAGAGGAGGGATCTGGTCTATGCAGGGACTTGAATGGCCTCCAAGCAGCCCCTGAGAATCCCTCTGGGCTGGGGTGGCACTGGGCATGGTACTCCCAGATCACAGTGCCTGCCCCAAGGGGTTCACAGCCTGCTTTTGGCTGTGAAATAAATGGGCAAATGTACCACCATGCGCTAACTGCTCCCACAGGAAGAGACACAGGGTCCTGAGGAACCTGGGGGAGGGGAGGAGGCATCTCACCCAGCCTGGGGCAGCCAGAGAATGCTTCTCAGAGGAGGGCATATGTGAGCTGGTCTCAAGCACAGAGGCAGGAGAAGAGAGAAGGGGCCCCCTGGGCAGAGCCCACAGAGGCAGGCTCGGCGTTGAGGGCGGTGGCCGGGCCCACCCAAGGGCACAGCTGGGACTGAAGCTGGAATGGGGACCAGCCTTGGGGAGGAAGACTTTGAGGGTGGAGCTCTCAGCTAAGAGGCAGGAAGGGAGAAGCTCAGGTGGGAACCCGGCCTACTCCTTAGGGTGGGTGTGAGGTGAAGAACAGGGATGGAGTAGGAGCTGGGCACGGGGCTCGGATGCCAGCCCAACACTGTCACTCAGGCTCTGAGGCTTCCTGTGCTTCAGTTTCTCCACCTGTCAGCTCTGCCCAGCCACTATGTCAATAGCCACTACCATCAACATAACAAGGTCACCAGGCACCAAGCACCTCTACATCCCTGGCACCTTGCTCTTTTCTAATTCAACCTCAACCTGCCCCGAGTCTTTGTTTTTGCTAACCTAAAAACAGAACCACTATTAATAATAATCCTACCTCATCAGGTCATTGGGTGACTTTAATAAAACTAAGTAGAGGTAATGACGTATTGGGAAAGTGCTTTGGGAATTGCATGCAAATGTTAGTTGCATCAGCACAATTGCTGTTGTACAGGGGGTTCAATGCACGGCAGCTCCCCTGCCCACCTCCCTATCCTTGGGGACCCAGAGCACTTGCTTCTCCTCTTGGGGCTCCCTGAACCTCAGCCGGATCTGTTGCTCCCTGAGATCACACACCCTCTGCTGCTGCCATGGCTGTGTGTCTTCTGGGTTTATCCTCTAACCCCAGCTCCTAACCTGCTTTCGCAGCACCCAAACAAGCCACACAGGCCTGGCACACAGTAGGGGCTTAAAAGCATGTGTGGAATGAGGAACTCATCCCATTCCCTGCTTGCGAAGCCTTCCAGGTCATGTGGGTTTGACTACCACTCCTCCCTGGAAGCAGAGCTGCATCTGCACAGAGCTCCGAGACCGGGGCTGGAGTATGTGTGCGTGTGTGTATAAAATGTTCATTGTTTTCTAATTTTTTATTATAAAGGTAACAGATTTTCATTATTAAAAATTATAGAAACCTTAAAAAGTATCAATAAGAAAATTAAAACCATCTATAACATCTCACCCACTTTTTGCGGGCTGCCCTCCAGCAGACATGTGTGTTCTAATGGAATGCAGCTCATGTGCACATACAATAGCTTCAAATCCTGTATCTTTTGTTTAAAAATATCTTAAACATTGCCTCATATAATTAAATATCAAAAAATGCAACTGTAAGGGCTACATAACATTCCACCCTGAGGATAGATGTGAATTATCTTCCGAATGTTTTATTTGCTTGTCCTACCATTGCTGGGCCCCTCGTGCACACCTGGCACACACCTCCTAGAAATGGAGTTTGGGCTCCAAGGGGGTGGACATGTTCAGGGCTCGTGAGAGTTCTGGCAATTCCCACTTTCCACCCCTCCCAGCGGGTAAGAGGCCTCTTTCCTTGCATTTTCAGTGACACAGAGGCTCACACTTCCTTTTCACCTCTGTCGGCACAATGGGACAAAGTCATTTTAATCTGGGCTTCTAGACAGTGAGTGCCAACTCCCCTCCTGCAGGCTATGGGAAAGCGCCTGTGCTGGGGGCGGTGGTGGCACTTAGGTGGTGCCTGTCTCATCACCCCTGGAGACGCTGGGGGCACCAGGATCCACGCTCTGCAGGGCTCCCATGGCAGAAGATAACCCTGTCGATGACACTTTCACGGGCCCCAACACCCAGGCAGGCCAGGCACGGGCCTCAGGCCGGATGACCAGGCGGGGTCTGCTCCGCAGAACAGAACTTGACAGTCACCAACCTGGTCTGACCTGTTGTCGTACAGATTGGGAACTCCAAGGCCTGGAGCGGGGAAGGCCTGGCTTCAGTGACCCACGGACAGTTGCAGCAGGTCCCACTTTAGAAATGAAGAGCCTCTTTGTTCCCAAGACCAGGCCACCCTGGACATGAGCTCTCATCCCAGGGCTGCTGTCCCAGTGCCATTGTGCTCTGCCTCAGTCGTCATCTGAGAGCACAATGGTGCTAACACTGTGGGGGCTGAGACCCAGGCAGAGCAAGCCCCCCTGCCCCAGCAGCCCAGCATTGTGGGGTGGGCCCAAAGGACCACTTCACGGGCCCTTGAGCAGAGACTCGAGGAACAACGGCGACACTGGAGACAAGGCCGTCATGTCACCCCACTGGGTTCGGCTTCAGAAAGGGAGGCCTGTCTGACACGCAGCCCTAAGAGGACAGCTGGGTGAGGTCATTCAGCACCTGCAGGACGCATGTATGGCAGATGCCACGACAGCAGCTCTCTTGCCACCAGCCCAGCCCAGCTGGCCTCTGGGATCACTTCAGACAGAAATCTTCAAAAGTAAGTAGTGGCTAAAGAGAAGTCTCAATACCAGAGCCCTCCTTGCCTGGCCCCTGGGGATGGCACCTCCAGCACAGGACAGCTGTAACACCCTCATCTGCCCTGGGGCGGGGCCCTCCAGTCAGGCTCCTCTGAGCCCTCTTCTCCACTGGGTCTCAGCCTTGGCCCTGGCCTCTGCCTCGGTCTTAGGCCTGCCTTGCCCAGGCTCAACAAGACTCCCGCTAAGTCAGTTTAGCAGGAACCTCCCACCCTTGACATCTGATCACCTCCACAGCTGAGCACGTTCCTCACCCCCACCTTTGGAGTCTAAGTCCTTGGCCTGATTTCAGCAGGAATCCCACCACCTGCACGTAGCTCCCCTGCACGACCCCTCCCTGCCTCCCGGCGATAGTTCCCCACTGTTTCTGTGGGATTCGGAATCCAGCCGTCTCTCTCTGACCCTGCGGCCACAGTCCAGAATGGTCTTCCTCGCTGTTTTTAACAAGCGACAGGATAGTTTTCTTTACCTGGGAGGGCTCAGAGAATGGGTAGGCAACAGGTGAGGGGGTTGTCAACGTGACAAAGCAAAGCATCACTCTCAGTGTACACACCCCCAAAACACGACTAGGATGCCCGAGTACGGCACCCGAAACGTGCCTCTTTGGCATAAGGATTATTTTGCGTTGATTATTTGGGGAAACAGCAGACTCAGAAAAGCTTTGAAAACAGAGCAGAAGTGACCCTTCTGTCAGGGAAACTGATGTTGCTAAAGGACACCTCCTCCCGCGCCGGGGAGAGATGGATGACACTGAGTCACTGGAGTCTCTCGTCAGCGGGGAAGGCGCACAGCTTCCCCTATTTACAGGGCCCCAGTCTTGACAGAACTGTGCATTCCTCACACTGTCCTTTGAGCCAGGGAAAGGTGGCATCTAAGCCAGACATCAGAGCTGCCCTTCGCGACCTGCACTTGAGAAGTGCTCCTCGCTCTGGATTCGCTCTCGTGCACACGTGGCATTCATGCGGCACACGTGTTTGCACGCTTGTTCTCTTGTTAATCTTTCGCTGCAGGTGTCCGTCCTGAGGACTATGAAGGGTGAAGAGAAAGTTATTTTTCTTTCCCTACAAGAGCTCTCATCTCCCTCCTTGCCTGCCAGTTGCTACATACATTGTAAGGAAATAAATGGTAGCTGAATCTTGTTATCGGAATGCCAATTTAATTGTTAAAATGAGAAGCAAAGAGCTAAAAAAGGTTAATCTGGAAGAAGGGGAGTGATGATTCTTGTTAAGCCTTGTCTTTTCTTCAGATCTGGTAGCCACAGGCCACCTCTCCTTTTATTATTATTATTATTATTATTATTATTGTTATTTTTAGTGCTGAATGGGTTGGGGGGGGAGTTCCCATGAAATGCCATGCCATGCATGAGGAGGTCAGTGTTTTCCCCCAAAACCCTCCTTTCCCCGACGCTGTGCCAGCAGACTCCCCTTGCTGCAGGAGGAAGGCCTCGGCCCTGCCAGCAGCAGCCCCACCCGGCCTTTACTGCTCTGGATAGATGGCTGCAGCAGGGGCAGGAAACACCTAAACTCTTAACTTGGACTCTGGGCTGGGAGGCTCTCTAGAAGAATCCTAAAGTGACAGCGGACATAACAGACTACATTTGTTTAAGTTTTGCTACTGGGACCCAAGTAGCCAGCACTCTGGATGCTGATCTTTCATCCACCCCTTTCTTATCGCACCCATCTCAGGCTCGCTGACGTCAGCCCGGTGGGTGAGGCAGGCTGACAAAGCCACCCTTGTGCCCCCGCCCTGCCTTGCCAGCTCTCCGCTGAAAGCCTGGTGCTCCCAAACTAGCAGGAAGACACAGGGAGCCAAGCAGTTCCTGCCCAGCACACGGTACGGACCCAGGGCATGACAGTTTCTTGCTCCAGGGGACTAAACAGCATGTTTTTATTTTTACCTTGAAGATACATCTCTTCTCCTTCTGCGAACATCTGGCCACATCTGACACATAGCGCGCACGAAGGGTGGTAGTGTTTCTCCCCTGCCTGCAAGGAAGCACAAGGCAGAGGTGTTTCTGCTAAAGGTAGAAATGTCCACTAGGCCGTAGCACCTGGCCTGGGAATAGCACACGTACGCAGGCGATTTCGGAAGGTGTGCTGCACACCAAACGGCCCCACAACCTTTGGGACCAAAGACCTCTACATGGAGCCCAGACCCAGGGGTGCCGCTGGGCAAGACCCAGCTGCACTTGCCAGACCTGAAGGAGACCCGTATCCAGCTCCCTCCTGGGCTTAGCAGGCATCAAGGGAGGAGCCTGGTCCCCCTCACCTGAGTGTCTCCAGCAGGAGGGGGAGGAAGAAGGGACTCACCAGGAGGAGGGACTGCAAAAGTGGGGTGAAAATGATTAATAATTTTCTTTCTGTATCTCTGTATTGCTCGATTTGTTCAATTAGCATTTCCTATTTTTATAACCGTTAAATTCCATTAAATTAGATTACAAACATTAATACTGAAATAACCTAAACAAATTCACTACCTGGTTTAGCTTATTTTTGCATAGAGCAAAAAAAAATCGCCCTTGAATATTGTATCCAACGTTACTTTGCAGGGCCCATTTCCTAACCTTGGGGTATGGAGGGCTGTAGCCTGCAGGTGAATGTGGCTGCCAGATCCTTATGTTTCCTCCTTCCCTAATGGGAAGAAGTTTCATAATTACTACTGAATTTGAAGGGTAGTAATCGCTTTCCGGAATGAGTAACGGGGTCATTCCGAGCATCTCGCTTTTCTTTTCCATGCCCACTGGCACCTTCCCCAATGATGAAAACAGGCAAACGGTGTCCCCTGGGTATCGGGAGGAAGGATCGAGAACCGCTCCTCTTCTATGTGGGGCCTGAAGTGGCCTCTTCCATCAACCTCTGGCCAGCTGCAAGGCCCCTCGTGTCTTCAGGCAAAGGGGCCCTCCCCACAGCTCGAGACGCTGCCCACTCCTGCTGGCCTCAGGCCCAGGCCATGGCTAGACGGCCCCTCCACCTGGAGCGCCTTCCCGCGCACCACCCCCCAGGCCGCCCTGAATGTTCTCTATCTCGCCCCAAGCGCCACCTCCTCTCAGGAGCCTTCCCAGAAGCTTCCCTAACTCGGCTCTCACAGCCCCGTGTTCACATGTGCAGCCACTTTACTCTGCTCAGTCCTCCCCCAGCCCCACCCCGCAGGTGCCTCCCAGGCACGTGGCCCGCCATCAGGGCGCTAGCTGCAGGGAGCTGTCTGGACAGCAGGTCACACCCCAGCATCCAGCCCCAGAGTGAGGGCGAAACAGTCATTTTGGGGATTACAGTCATTAGAACTCGGAGTGGTCAGAGTAGCACGCTCTCGTTGAGGTACAAATGAGAGACTGAGACAACTCGGTATTTTTAGAAGTAAAATTCACCTGAAACCCACCTCACAGAGTTAACTGATGACTCACTGCGTTCATAACGAACCCGAGGGGATATTCGCGAGTTTGTGATCCCCAACCTGTGCTCACACCCACCTCATCCAGGTGCCCTCACCTCACACTGAGGGGTACAACCCCCCGCCTGCCCCATGATTACTAACGGCAGGAGTTCCGTGACAGCCACATGGGAGACAGCACGTCCTCCAGGGCACACAAAGCCTGCTGTCTACACCACATGTCTCCGCAGCACGTCCACATGTGAATTGGAGAGATTGTGATTCTGTTGGGGACAGTTTCCAAGATGACAGGCTTGAATTCCCCTTGGCCACAGTGGCTGCTGTCTCTATGGCTTGTGCCAAGAAGCACTTTACACATATTAACTTGGTTAATCCTTTCAACAGCCCTATGAAGTATATTATTACCCTCACCTTTCATAAGAGGCACAGAGAGGTGAAAGAACTTGAGCAAAGTCACACAGCAGGTAGCAGATGGAGCTGGCATGAGGGTCCAGGAGTCTGGCCCCTGAGTGCACAGTTTAAGCCCACGCCTTGGGGGCTGGCAGTCCCCAGGTCCACGGTATGGGTCTCAACCCTGGGGCAGGGACCCCGTCCTCACATGCTGCCTGCCATGGTTTGAATATTTGTCCCTCCGAAACTCACATTGAAATTTAATCCCAGTGTGGCAGTACTGAGACATGGGGCCTGTAAGAGTTGACTGGGTCATGAGGACTCTGCCTTACGAATGGATTAACCCACCCGTGGATCAACACGTTATCACAGGAGAGGGACTGGGGGCTTTATAAGAAGAGAGACCTGAGCCAGCACACTCAGCCCCTTGCCACAGGATGCCCTGTGCCACCTCGGGATCTGCGAGTCCCCACCCGCAGAAGGCTCTCACCAGATGTGCCCCTCAGCCTCGGGTTCCTCAGCCACCACGATGGTAGGAAACAAATTCCTCTTCTTTATAAATTACCGAGCTTCAGGTATTCTGTTACAAGCAGCAGCAAGCAGATTAAGACACTCCTCAACCCTCATGCCCAGAACGAACAACGTGGAGGATGTGACGGGACTGACATTAAGCAGAAGAAGCCACACGAAAGCACAGCCTTGTTTTACGAAGCTCAGAAGTAGGCGAAACAACATGCGTTGTTAGTGTGCTCTTGGGGCAGTGACCAAAGGGCGCCCGGGGCTTCTGAGTGCATCGGGCATGGTCTTCTCAAATTGGGTGCTGGTTACACGGGTGTGTCCAGTTTCTGAAAATGTATCAAGTTGCACACTTAAGATTCTTGCACTGTGTGTTACACGCCAACAAGAGAGTTTTCCACAAAATGGATCAAAGACCTAAATGTAAGAGCTAAAACTGCGGAACTACAGAAGAAAACATAGCATTAAATCCCAGTGACCTCAGATTTGGCAGTGGACTCTTATATTTGACACCAAAAGCATGAGCAACAGAAGAAAAAACAGATAAATTGGACTTCATCAAAATTAAAAACTTGTGCATCAAAGGGCATTGTCAGGAAAACGAAAAGACAGCCTAAAGGATGGAGAAAATATTGTGAATCACATATCTGATCAGGCTGTAGTATCCAGAATGCAGAGAACATCTGCAACTCAACAGCAAAAGGAGAAACAGCCAATTAAAAAATGGGCAAAGGATTTGAATAGACATTTCCTCAAAGAAAATATATAAATGACCAATGGTACATGAAAAGATGTTCGACACCATTGTCATTAATGCAAATCAAAACCACAGGAGACACCACTTCATACCCACCAGCGTGGCTATGATAACAACAAAAAAGGGAAATAAAAAGTTGGTGAGGATGTGGAGGAATAGAAACCCTCATACAACTGGTGGTGGGAATGCAAAATAACACAGCTACCGTGGAAAATAGTTTGTCAATCCCTCAAAAAGTTAAGCACATAATTACCATATGATCTGGCAAGCCCACTCCTTGGCATTTAAGAAAAACAAAGAGAACAGAACAGGAGAAATGAAAATGTAGGTCCACGCAAAACTCATACGTGAATGTTCATACAGCATTATTATACAATGACCAAAAGGTCCAACAACCCAAATGTCCATCGTGGACAAAGAAACTGTGGTCTGTCCATACACTGGAACATTACCAGCCACAGAAGGGAATGGTGTCCCGACACTTGCCATGACACGGACCAACCTTGAAGACACGTTGGGTGAAAGAAGCCAGACACAAAAGTCCACTTATATGATTCCTTCCATATGAAACGTCCAGAACAGGCAAATCCACAGAGACAGGAACAGATGAGGGGTTGCCAGGGGCTGGGGGGAGGAGGGGAGTGACTGCTCAGTGGGTGGGGGGTTTCCTTTCGGGGCGATAAGAAGGTTTTGGAACTAGAGAGAAGTGAAAGTTGCACAACATTGTGAACGCACCAAAGGCTACCGAACGGTACATTGTAAATTGTTAATTGCAAGTTGTGTGAATTTCACCTCAATTTTTAAAAAAAAGTTGATCCCCATCTGGGGAACTTCTTATTACCAACCATAAGCCAAGCATCGCACTAACCGCTTTCCTCCAGTTGCTCAAGTTCATCCTCACATCAAGCCCATGGGGTGGGCGTTGTTCTCTACCCCCACTTTCCAGATGAGGAAATCGAGGTTCAGGGATGCAGGAGACCTACCCAAGGCCAACATCAAAACACGCAGGAGCCAGGATTAGAATCAGGTGGGACTGGGATCTGCCTCCTGGGAAAACATCCACGGGCCTTGGTGACACAATAGCCACCAGTGGTGGCCAAGCCCTGCAGGTCCCGGTCTCGGCGCACTGTTCCCTCCTCCCACACCCAAGGTGGGGACACGGGAGAAGGAGGGGATGTAGAGCACCTACTATGTGCTGTGAACAGCCTTTGATACACACACACACGTGTCCAGCTCACTGTGCTGAGGAGGAGCCTGGGGTCCACAAAGCCACAGCGTGAGCCACGTGAGAGCCAGTGCCACCTCTGTGCCCTTCCATTGACTGCCTCGGCTTCATGGGAAGGGTGTCCTCAGCCTCGTGGCCAGGAGCCAGCCCCTCTCCCACAGTTTGGACCACTCATCTACAAAGTGCCAAAGGCAATGGCTCAACCAAATTTCAAGGGAGCTCCATGTTCTGGAACATTCCATCTGTGGGGGAGAGACAGGGCTCAGATGCCTGTGTCTCCAGGCCCCGGAGACGTCAGAGACTGTCCAGTTGACTGAGGAAACGTGCCTTCAGGTGCCCTGGCCTGTCCCTGGCTCATGGCTGAGGCCACGGAGGTGACGGGTTCCAGCTCAGATCTTCAATTCCCGGCTGTGTGACTTGGGGTGGCGTCATGTCTTGGGACTCAGGGTCCCTATTCGTAAAATGGAGAGGACTGTCCCTCCCTCTCAGGCTGGGGTAGGATAACTGGGCTCTCTGACTCCAGGGGGCATTTAGCCGGATGTACCCATATGGTGAACGTCGCCCCGTCCCTACCCCACACTCCCTGCTGGGAGCAGTTGGGTTACAGGTGGCCAACGATGGCTGATGAGGTCAAAAGAGAAAAGTGTCCTTGCTACTTGTATCACTTCTCATGTCACTGCCTTCTCTCTTACAGTGACTGGGTGTTCCAG